CAACTCACAAAAAATTCTGAACATGTTCTGAAACATAAGACCAAACCCCTGACAATTTTAGTTGTATTTTGATAAATACTGTACAGTGGCATGTACCAGAAGAGTAATGTGTGGAGGGATGAATACTTACGTACATACTTATATATTTATATATGCAGTCACCCCTAAGTGTCCATGCAAGACTGGCCCCAGAACTTACACGAACAACAAAATCTGCAGATGTTTTAATCCTTACATAAAAAAATCCTCTATTCTATACCAGGCATCATTTTTCCAGGCGCTTAGAAATGAAATGGTGAAAAGAAAGGTAAGAACAAAGTGTCGTGTTAGTGGAAAGTGGAGGAGAGGAGCAGTTCTGATCAAAAATATACAAGGGGTGATCAAAATATAGTGAACAGTTAAATTTTTAAAATTTATTTCAGTAAAGACACATTGCCATTAATCCTTCAGAATACTCAAAATGCCCTCCTCACCTCTTACACACTCAAACACACTTATCCTATTGTTCTTGGCAATTACAACTATTCAATCTAGATGATCATTGCTCTTTTTTTCTGAAAGAAATTTTTTTCAAACTTAAAAGTTGTAGAGGAGGTTAATAAACAAAAAAACAATAACTTGAAAATTGTAGATTAGAAAGTTTTTATGAAATATTACACAAATAATCCCGGATCAGAAAGTTCTTTTCAAATTTGGCTTCCTAGGACCAAAATTTCCATCTCTTCACCTGCTCTCATCCTAAAAGTAAGCTTCACCAGATTAGGAAGTTGTTCCAATTTCAATGCTGCTAAAAGTCTAATATACTTCACTGCAGTCCACCACCTTTCTGTCTTTTGGTTTTAAGTGAAGTCTGAAATTGTAATAAATCTCAGTAGCAGTCTATGTAAGTATTATAAATATGATCATCTCCAAACTATTAAATTCTATCCCTCCCTTAAAATCTTGATTGCTTCTGCCCTGAGAATGACATTCTAACTTCTTATCAAGGCTATTACATCCTGCTCCACGTTACCTACCTTCCCAAGCATCCCTTCCCCATATACCTCTCACTCACTACAATCCCAGGGCTGCTTTCTTCCCACCACGGGCTGCTACACCGGCCATTCCTCCCTGCATCCAACGCTCTTCCCATCTTGACTAGGTGATCTTAGTCCACCAGGTCTCAGTTTGGGTGTCACTTCCTCAAAAGCCATGCTCTGAACACATTTCCTAAAAGTGGTCCTCATATTCACTTCTGTAATTGTTCTTCCAGGAATCCTATTATATAAACAATGATATTTTGTCTGTTTCCTTCTAAAATGAGCTCCATTCAGTTGCAGAACTATCCCTCTTACTGCCGTCTCTAACACAGAACTAGTGCAACCATAATGCTAAAATTTGTAATAGAAAAAAATCTAATATTCAAAGAATCTTAGATTAAATTGTAATCTCCATTTTTATTACTTTGTGTAACCAAGTCATTCACCTCTCTGTGCATCAGTGCCCTGGCACAGCTACATGACTTGAACAAATAAGATAATCAACACAGAAAAATACTTTTTAAAAAAATCATATAAAATATAAAAAATTATTATAGCCAGAGAGCTCTTGGGATTCATCATAAGCAGACATCTTCTGGTTTCCTTTTGCTTACCGCCCTGTGGTTGTAGATTTCACCATTGTAACAGAGCCACAAATAAGGATATTTCTTCACTCGAATTGGCTGCATTCCAAACAGAGGATCAACTATCGCCAACCGGTGAAATCCAAAGCAGCAGTTGGTGTAGCCATTGACATTCTCAAAACGGAATGCATCTGGACCCCTGTGTGCAATCTTCATAGCACTCAGACACTGCACCGCAAGGCAATCATCACTGCCAAAGAGGCCCCAAATGCCACACATGGTGCAACAGAGATATGGACACTGTGGACAGAAAAGCATATTGGCCAAATATTTGATATCCAATCTAAACCAGAATTAAACCTCTATTCCAAAACTTATATAACACACTTCAAAAGTTGAAACATAATCATCTCATCTTTACCAGTTTTCCATTAGGTTGGCAGGCACACAGGAGTAGGTGATTTTTTTTTTTTTACAAGTATTCAAAAACAATATGACCTTTACATTGAAACAGCTACACAATTTAGTACATAGCCAAAGCCCCACCACCCCAGGATCAGAAAAATCTCTCAAAAGTCTGGAACATGCCCCAGATTAGTAGTCTCCTTGACAATTACATGCCCTCTGTTTATGTACTAACAGTAGGTAGTACATGGAAGGTATAATAGCAGATCACATATACCACTAAGGATAATATTGAGACGTAAAGGTTTTATAAGCATTTCACAACTTCTACCTCTAAGTGACTTATTCAAATGTAACTGAAGAATGAGAAAGAAATCAATAATCTGATATCAGATGTCCTAACCAAAAAAAAAAAGCTTTTAAGTTGTAAGACCCAAAATGTTCACTATCAAAATATTATAAATGACAAAAATGTTCTCAAATATTTGTCTTGATTGGTCAGTAAGAAAGCAAACAAAATAAATTATAAAACATTACTTTAGGGAAAAGAAAAATAAGGGAAAAGGAAAAAACGGAAATAGTCTTTGTAAATAGGGAGGGCCGGAGGAGCTAAAGGGAGGGCAGGGAAATGGGGAAAAAATAAGAACCAAGATATATCATGTACAGGTGCAAATTCCCAATGATGAATGTCATCATACTGTATACCTAAAATGTACCAACAAACTTAATGAAAAAAAAAAAAAAACATTGCTGAAACAAAAATTTAATGTATCCCTGTAGGCCAGGAAGCAAATAATTCCTACAAATGTTACTTCAATTTCCAATTTCAAAGTATCAACAGTGAAACAAAAGGCTGTTTGATTTGTACATTGTCAGCTCAAACAGTTTTTTTAACATCTGTAATTTGGGGGAAACTACTTTTGGATTTTTAACAAAAGGCAAATCTGTAACAAACGCCAGCATAATTTGGGACAAACCCCCTAAAGAAAAAAAGATAGATTCAAGTTACATCAATCCCTTTGAACAATACTTTGAGGACATTTCATTTATATCTAAATGAACTGCAGCTTTGGAATTTTAGCAAGACGTGAAAACAGTATCAACTTAGGCAATTTGGAAATGAAGGGCCTCATGTTGTATGTAGTCCCTTCCATGTACTTAACTAAACAGCCTATAAAAAAGATTTGAGATTTAGTGCAAAAATTCATTGAGATTTTAGACTTGACTCAATTTAAAAGATTCAGGAAAATGCTTTGAAAATAAGTAGGTATCAGTTACTAAAGTTGTCTCAACACTGCTTTGTGAATCTTCCTATATAGCCTAACACACTAATTACTAAAGTGAAGCCAAAAGAAGGAAAACAAAGTTTTGTGAAACACATTTACTTCTTCAGCAGAAAAAAAATCTAATTACAACTATAACCCATCGTTTTTGCAGCAGTCAAACTTACTGACTGTAAAGTCAGAGGTCTTACGCTGTAAGGTCAAAGAGCTTTTTCTTTACTGCTGCTGCCTGTTCCCAGGAATTTTCCTTTTCAGTCCTACACTTCCACATCAATGATATCCAATACAAATCCAAGCCACATGTGTAATTTTAAATATATTAGTACCCTTATTTACAAAGTGAAAAGAAAATAGAGAAATTAATTTCAAACATATTTTAACACAATATGCCCAAGTAGCATCATTTGAAAATATAAATATATGAGATCTTTTACACTACTTTTCCTACTAACTTGTAAAAAAAAAAAAAATGATGTATTTCTTATTTTCAGAACATCTCAATTCAGACTGGCCTGCATTTCAATTGCTCAATACCTGCAATCACACCTGGCTAGTGTCAACTGAACTGGACAACGCCACCGCAGTGCATTTCATTTCTGTTCTACTTAGGAACCACTTAAATTCGCCATATCACCCTATTTTAAAATTAAGAGCTCAATAAATAAGCGGGGCGTGGTGGCGCATGCCTGTAGTCCCAGTACTCCGGAGGCTGAGGCCTGAGGTCGAGAGTTCAAGGCTAGCCTGAATTACATACAGAGCAAGACCCTCGGAAATGAAGAGCCAATAACCAACTCGGAGACAGGTGCAAGTACTTCTAATTACTTTTACAGTAATTCCATCATTGAAATAAGAGTTGTCAGTCTTTCCAATTATACGTACCGAGGGCAATGGCAGGCCACGGTCGGAGAAGAAAAGACTGTCCCTTTATTTAAACAGTGACATTAATCGGAAGCCCACTCTGTGGAACAGATGTTCGTTAAGAGAAGGCAGTGAACTCTTGCCTTTTTCTGTGGTTCGCCTGTCTCCGGAGCGGGCACTCCACTTCGCAGGGTTCCCTGGAGGAGTCCTGAGGCCTGCAGACCAGAGGAGCGGAGAGAGGAGGGAAGGTGAGCAGGGCAGAGCGAGCCGGGAACCCAGACAGCAGGGAGGTGACACGACACCAGGGACCCTCCCGCCGAACCGAACCGAACCGAGCCGAGCTCATCCACACCCGGCCACCCGCCCCCTCCGGCTGCTCGGCGGGGCCTGGGACTGCTGGGATCCCAAAGGCTTAACTCGACGCCGCCAAGTAAAGCGGAATGCTATTTAACCAGGGCCCGACTTAGGCGGCCGCTGCCTTCTCTCCATGACCCCCGGGGACCTCTCCCGGCTCGCTCGCTCTCTTTCAGATGCGCAGCAAATCGCCCGGCGCCCTCAAAGGACCCGCAGGATTCTCCCGGCGCCCCGGAATCGCGTCTGCCGGGCTCCGAGCCGCAGCGCATCCTCCTGGGCCTGCAGGGTCACAGCAGAGCGCAGCCCCGGGGGCGAGCCCGGCTTACCTGGGCGCGGGCCGTGGGCGCCTGGCGGAGCGGACCGGGGCTGCGGGGCGTCGGCGGGAGGCGGCTAGTCCCCCACGCGCGCGGCCCAGCTCCTGTAACCCTACGGGAAGTTTCATCAGGCCCGGAGGACCAATCAGCGCGTGGGGTGTGGCTCCGGCCGTTGCGATGGGCGGGGCCTAGGGGACCGAGGGTGGGCAGCTCAGAGCAGCTGCTGGGCTCCCAGGTCCACCAGGTGTCTTCATGCCTGCTAAGGGTAGCCTCAGAGGCCCAGCCAGGTGCTGCATTGGCATCTAGGTTACCTGACCTCTTCTGGCAGTCACGGGCCTCTGTACTTGATTTGTTCCTAGAAATTCATCATAGCGTCCCCTCTACAGCAGATTTTTCCCATTCCCTTCATTTTTAAGTTCTCCCTTTCTAAGAGATCTTCTGATACATAACTGTGATACACAAATACTTCCTAAAGTAATTAAAGGTAACGCAGATAAGAATAGCTGGAAGGGTGGTCTCCTAGTACAAGGTAGATTGCACAGTGTTCAGGGACAGTTAAATTTTCCTTCCTCCGCGTAGGAGCAGCAACAGACTGGAGATGTGGTGCATTCCTGCACCAACCCTTTTCTGTTGAAGTATTGAGTCCTGTGTTCAGCTCGGTGAATAACACTAAGTAAATTCTCAATATATATTCCATTCGATTCCCTATTATACTTGGTTTTGAGGTAGAAGAAATAAAGATAAATAGAAAGGAGACTAGGAGATGGTAATTTTAAATTGTACTTTTAAGAAAAACTACAGCTTCGGGACACTAAATTAAAAAAAAAAATCCTAAAGGCCTTAAAAACCCAGTACTCGTGGGCACATACTTTTTGCTCTTTTACCTGTAGAATGGGCCATTACCTTCCCACCTGTGGATGGCCCCACCCCTTCACCTGTAAAATGGTCCCTTTGTAGCTGTTGAAAGGACCACGCCTTTCAATTGTAACTTGAACCTCTTTCCACACATAAAACCACATAAATATACCCAGCTCAGGCCAAAATATGCCCCCTTACCTGCTCCCTGACACATTCAAACCAAAAAATCCACTGCATTTCCACCAACCCCACAACCTCCCACCTTTCCTGATCTTAAGGAAATCCTTCATAGGGTAATCATTGCTTCAAGAATTATTGCTTCAGAAATACAGCTAAATGTGGTTCAGAGTAGAACTCAGCAAAGATATCAGAGCAGAGACTGAGATAGTAACAATAATAATATTAACTGACATGTACTGAGGACATCCTAATTGTAATATATCTTATATAAGCTATTTTTGTGCTGCAATCAACCCTGGAAAATAAGCATTATTCTTCTCTTTTGATAGTTAAGGAAGTGGCAAGTGACTCGAGATGATAAATTAACATTCCAGCACCAAAGAGCTACACAGTAGTGAGCCACTTGTTTCAAACCTAGTGTGCTGGCTCATGAGTCCTCCTGTCTCCCCAAGAAGTGGATCAGCAGGCAGATCAGGAAGTGAGAGCTCTTCCAAGAAATGGCAGTGAAACATGAAAGATCTCACTGTTTCCCCAAGGACTGCTGGAGCAATATGTAGATCAACTGGAAAAGACAGTGAAGAGGAAGGGATTCCATTTTAAGAGAGAAAGATTAAGTGGAGCAGAGCTGAAAGGGAGGGTTATAGGAAATCTGCAGAATGCAATACAATTGGAGAGAGAGAAAAAAACTTTCTTTAGGTGGAAGAGAGAGAAAGGAATGGCAGTGGTGTTGATAGACCAAGGGGAAGAGGAAAGGGGAACCATAGAGAAAATAAACAAGACAAAGTATTTGTTAAATGCATCAGTGATGATAAATGATGAAAGAAAAAAAAAGAATAGAGTGAAGGCAAAAGGAGTGGAGGAGGGTTTAACAATTTTTACAAGAGTTTGTAGGCTCATTTTCTGTAGAGCATAGGAGGCACATCGTATGAGGTACCACAGAGCTGGTGAGGCTGTGAGGGTGAACTTTGAAATAAGCAACAAATATCAGAGAGAGTTGATGAAGGGAAAAGATAGAGATCCAGCAAAGGAGGAAAACAAGTGTGGACAGACGGGGGGCCATCCTCCAACCACAGGGAGGTCTCAGAGCTGGAGTGAGACATGGAGAGGAAGGGATCCAGCATGTCTGGAAGAAACATCAGAGGCCAAAGGAGCAAGTGTGCAGCATGTACACCCAGCAGGGTCAGGATTTGTAGTGGGTTCTGTTATTGCTCAGAAATAGTCAGTGCCCTTCCCTGGGTGGGGTGGGGGGTGGATTATACTATTTCCAGTCTGTTGCTATCAGCATGGCTATGTGACTTGCTTTGCCAATAACATGTGAGCAGAAGAGACAGGTATCACTATAAGCAGCCCCTGTGTGGTTCACCACCTACTCCTTTCCTTTTAATGATCCAGATAGGAGCAGTGCCACAGACCCAGGGCCCAGAATGAAAACTACAGAGAGGCCAATCTACCTATGATCCACGTGCAGCTTGGGTGAGTGAAGAAACCTTTCTGGTTGTAGTGCCTTAGGCTTAGAAGTCATTTGTAACAGTAGCATAAACCTAATCTAATCTGAATAATGGAGTTTGATTATTGTGTAGTAAAAGGGTAAGAAGTAAAGCCAGAAATGAGTTAACTTATGGACAGCATAACACACAAGTTGGGCTTAGTTTTAAGTGAGAGACGTACAAGAAGGGAAGTAACAGATGAACTAGATATTTTCATGGGAGAGGAGTATGTAAATTTTTAGCATTAAATACATTAAAGAAAACAAGGAATGTAAGATTTTCTAGCCTGGATCCATGGACACAATGTGCATTAAATAAACAAAGGTCCTTCCCAAACAGAATTCTTCAATCATTTCTGAACTATGCTCTATCCAGCCAAAATGGTTATACATAGTGGGAATCAGCAGCCCTGAAATAAAAGCACCCCCCCTCCACAAATCAAGGTCACATATCAAGCCCAGAAGCTTGTAAATTACCCTCATCCTTTTTATATTATGCTTTTTACTGCTCTCTTCCCAGTTCATTATACCCCAGCCGCACTGGTCTTATTGTTCCTGAACATAGCAGCAAAGGTGAACAGTTTTCAGCAGCTAGAAGGTAGAGTTGTGGTGAGAGACCAGACCAATCTCTTTTCCTTCCTGTGGAAGCTATGATTTGGGTTATCAGGGCAGAAAATTAAGGTTTAATTTCTTTATTAACTCATAATATATTTTGTGCATCTATTGTGTTTTAGAACACTGAACTTACACCAAGATAAACAATTTGCACATAAGTTAGAATAAAATAAACCACTGTGGAGAACAGTAGAGCAAAGGAGTGTGTGTTTCACAACACAGCCCTGCCACTCCATTATATAATATCATTCTATAAGAAGTGTGCTTGGATTTCACATTTAGTAAAATGTTAATGAATATCTCTCCATGATGAAACTAAACCACAGTCTGCATTGCTGTAGTGAAAGGTCCTTGGAAGACAACCACTACCCTCTAAGGCTTCTCAGGTATGATCAATACATCCATTGCATCTCAGCCCTAACTATAAAGAATGCTTACCAAAGGGGAAAAGGTTTGCTGTGTTCCAACAGTCAGTACAATTTTGTACTAGTTGGAGGTTCATTTCACACTTGCCCTAATTTTGGCCACCATGACATGATCCAGCACTGTATATCTATATCACAGCAAGATTTTTAACACCATAGTGGGGACCAGTGTTTCCCAGAAAAATACAGGTACAAATGACACTGTAGCATTTTTACTAAAAAAGTCAAGAGCAAACAGGTATTAGCTACAAGGCTGTCTCTATGGCCTGGGAAAATGACTTTTAAGAAACTGGAACCTGGTAAAGGCTACACTCAAACTATCCAGAGCAATTGTAGCAGACCAAGAAAGAATGATAACATCTACTGTTTATTGAATTTCTACTGCTTATTGGGGGCATCTGGGGTCACTTTTTCCAAGTGATTTATTTTTACCTACTGCTATATATCCAGTCAGACACCTGCCTTGTAAGTTGGACACCATTGTCCCCCTGGTAGAGCAGGAACAGCTCCAGCCTCAGAAAATTCCTCATACTAAATGTATCTCGACCATCAGGCCCAGCACAGACAGAAAAACACATCTTTCTGGGGTGTCTGGGTGTGATTCAACAGTACAGAAGTCAAGGAGGGTGCGATGGGATTAACAGGGCAATCAAATAAGGGGCTAAAAACGGGCCTACCTGTGAGGCCACCTTGGCCCATTTATCTCCCAATATAGTATACAGTGGGCTTGGTATAGTGACTTTAATGGTGACCCCTAAAACATGCCTGAATCGCAGAATTTCTAAATGTGACCTTATTTGGAAACATCTTTGTTGATGTAATTAAGGTAATGATTTCAAGATGAGATCATCCCAGATTATCCAGACAGGTCTTAAATCCATCTTTTTATAAGAGATTCAAAGAAGAAAGACAGAGAAAAAGACCATATCAAGACAGACTCTTCTTGAAGTTAACACAACCACAACTCAAAGAATACCTGAAGCCACCAGAAGACAGAAGACGCAAAGAAGGAATCTTCCCCAGACCCTTCAAAGGGAGTATACTCCTGCCTTGAAATAGACTTCTGGTCTCCACTCCTGCACCTCCACCAACCCCACAACCACCCAAGTGAGAGCAAAGAACCTGATCTTTAGAGAAATTGTTCATCTCCATGGATTATTCATCCCATTTGCCTCCAACCTTCCATGCCAATGATTGTCTCCACTTGACAAGGCACCATTCACAAGAATCCATGCAATCATCCTCCTGCTAGTGTCCAAACACACTCAAGACAAAGGAGTCCTTTTAATACACCTCTCCAAACACCATGGTTCTTCCACCTGCGCAGCCTCCACAGAAATGTACTATAATAAATTACTTTTTCCCTCCTAGAGACTAGCAAATTTCCTCAAAATTGTCATTTTTCCTCTCTGCCTCTTCTCAGGAATACATTCATTTTGACACAGTTCAGAGCTGAGCTCAACACCTAGCCCAGGTGATAAGACAAAAAATTCTGAGATGTCCTAAACTTAATTACAAAGGCCAGAGTATGAATAGGAGGAGAGATAAAGGAAGTTAATCAATTAACAGCTATGGGCCAAAACCAACTAAAAACTGCTACACATTCTTGAACAAATGCTGAAAGCTTGACTCAAAATCCCAGATGGCCAACACCCACAGGCACCATCACGTCCTGCTAACAGCCCCAATCCATCTGAAGCAACAGATACTTCTCCTTGTGGATCATCTTTCTATTCCCAAACTTTCCCCCACATTCCTGCGGTTCTTATCTATAGACAATGTAGGTTTGATATAAACATTTTTTTTCTTTCTTTTCCAAAATTTTCATTATAAAAACGTGTTTTGCTTAGGTCCAGAGGACAAAGGACAGTTCCAACTATATAGCTTTGCTCCTGATGCTTGACACAGGACCTGGTCCTTTTTCTGGCTAGCATCTGGTAATGGCTCAATAAAGCCTGTTTTATTTCAGAGATTCTTCAATCTGAATAGTTTTGGTTTAATGAAAGCACTCAATGAATACTTGCCGGTAGAATAACAAGGAACTGGCCAGCTTAAGAACCCTCAGGCGAATGGTCTAGAAAACCAAGGATACATGAAAACATGTTCTAAATATTTCAACTGGCACTGCTCCTACTGGCCTCCTACTACACTTGACTACCTTTTCAGCTCTACCCTAAACTCAATGCCTGTCACATGAGAACTGTGGGGGCCTTTCCTGGCCTCCCCCAGTGGACACACAGGAATACATTAGCACTTACTTCTACCAAACCTTTCCTGCCAAAGGGGGAGAAGTCTATGAGTTGAACAAGCGAAACTTCAAGCGTAACTCCTACCTCTGGCCAGTATTCTCCCTACTGGCTCTTCTTCCCAATTTTGGCCTCCTTCATTCTATATCTTGAGTTCAGATACTCAGAATTCTTGGCTTTTATTTAATGTTTGGACCAATTTCTTCACCTAATTTTATTCTCACAAGTTATCATGTAGTGTTTTGGGAGTGTGAAGATAAATATACTTGTTCTTTGTCTCCAATGCCTGACACAGAGTTTCTAAAGCCCTTAGAATTTCCACATGATGTGGGTGATTGGAGCATGTCCTAGGCACACTCCTCTTCACTGAGACACTTTCCCAATACCCACAAATTAAAGGCGGAGAGGTTTACTTTGGTTCATGTTTTCAGTCCACAGTGGGCTGGCTCCAAGACAAGAAAAGTCTGGTGGAGAACAGATGCTCAAGGTGATCAGAAAGCAGTGTGCAACCTGGGAGGGAAATGTACCCTTCCAGGTCACACCCACAGCAAGCTGCCTCTAACCAGGCCCCACCTCCCAACAGCACATTCAGCAGCTAAATTCCTTAGAGGATGAATCCACTCATGAGTTTAGCACCCACATGATCCAATCTCCTTCCAAAGGCCCCACCTAAGAATACATGAGCCTCTTGGGGAACATTCTAAATCTAAACCGTAACACAGCATCTTTTGATATTCATAACAATTCCCTTTCAGCCTGAGTTTATGCTATATATATGATTCTCGGAAGACAGGGGTTGATTGCTAAAGGAATCCATCTGGTGATTAGAGGGTTCAAACTTTCTGCCCACCTCACCTTTACCCCTGACTTACTAGTAGGAAGAGGGACTGAAGATTTACTTAATCAACTATAGCCAATGATTTAATCAATCACCCTTGTGTAACAAAAGCTCCATAAACCCAGCAAACAATGGTGTTCAAAATGCTTCAGGTTAGTGAACACCTCAGGGTGCTGGGAGGGTGCAGGAAGACTATGGACTCTTGTCCCATACATCTTTTCCATTTGGTTGTTCCTATGTTGTGTCCCTTATAATAAATGCTAGACAAAAGTAGAGTGCCTTTTCAGGTTCTGTGGATTATTCTAGGAGATTATCAAACCTGAAGATAGAGTTCTGAGAATTCCATTGTATAACCAGCCAGTCATAGGTACTTATGTCCTAGACTTACAATGGCCTCTGAAATGAGGTCAGTCTTGTGGGACTCTGTCCTTCACCTGTGGGATCCAATGCTAGCTCCAAGTGTCAGAATTGAGTTGAGTTGTAGGACACCAGTTGGTGTCCAGAGAGTCGCTGAATTGTTTGGTGTGAGGAAGACCCTCCCATACTTGGTGTCAGAAATGTTATGAGTAAAAGTAGTTCCAGGAGAGAAAAATCTAGACTAGCAACTCATATGGAGCAAATACAGAATTCCAGATACATGACCTTCGACCTTGAGTAAGTCCCTTCAGCTTCTGAGTTTCTTTATTTGCCAAACAGAAAACAAAGATAAGACCTTTTCAGATTTCTTGGGATGGTTGGAAGTAGTAAGAGGACTGGCAAGTTAGCAGAGTAGCTGGAAACAATAAAAGTTCAAAATATGTCAGCTGTTCGAGTTGTCCTCATATTATTGTTGGACACCTCCATATTTGGCCTCCAAATTCACGTCACACTCTGCGAAGGTGGTCTTGTAGAACCCTGGAAAGCTTTGCAAAGTCTTTCAGATCCAATGAAGTAAGCAGCATATTGCCACTAATCCCATATATTTCTACTTCATTGGACAAGGGGTAGAAATAATGAAAACCATAAAAAATAGTTTGAAAAAAATAACTTTTTGGCATTTAATTTTGTCTCTTGGAAATGTAACTGTCCACTATTACATACTATCAACAGATGTAATTCAAAATGCTATACAAAAAAAGACACTGTGAATATGCTAAATACTTCTGATTTCTATACTAAAAATGATTTAAGTGGTGAATTTTGTCTTATGTGAATTTTACCTCTGTCCACACACACGTGCATGCACACACAACACACACACACTTTTTTTTGGCAGTACTAGGAATTGAACCCAGCATCTTTGCTTTGAGTTATAACTCCAGCAGTATTTTATTTTGAAACAACTTATTTGTTAAGGCTGGGCTGCAATCCTCCTAATTCAGTCAGAGAGAGAGAAAAAAATGCAGCAACTGCTGTTGTCTTCAATATCAAAATGTTGACCTGGGCATTATTTTGCAAATATCCTAATTCTGAAAGTCAAGATACAGAATAGTCATTTTTACCTTTTAAAAATTACTCCCATAGTGATTCAAGTGAATCAAAGTTGAGAACTACTGATTCATGACTTAAAATATCTCAAAATTGGGCAAAGGATATGATATGAACTAGAAAGTGCACTTTCTTTTTTCCTTCTTTCTTTCATTTTTTGGGAGGAAGAAGCAATTGCAGACTAAACCTTCACAGTGAGTTACATCCCTGGGACATTTTTGTTAATTTTTAGATAGAGTTTTGCCAAATTGTCCAGGTTGGGCTAGAACTTGCAATCTTCCTGCCTCAGCCTCCCAGACTGTAGAGATTACAGTCATCTACTACGTGGCTGGAAAAGTTGCGATTTTGTTTTAAAGGCAGTTGTTCACTGGTTAAGATGGTGTGATTCTGGTTAAGATAGTGGGATTCTTGAGAGCATTTTTTTTCTCTTTATTATCCTCATATTGGGGTTATAATACAGTTTGAGCAATACACTTAATCACATAAATAATACTTTTCTGTGGGATTTCACTTATTTTGTTTTTTGAAAGAAGCATCTGTCTAGTGGTATGGAAGCAAGTAGAAGGTAGAAGCCAGATTGGGATTCAGTCAATGGGAGGGAAGGGGAAACCAGAACAGCATCCCCATAGCACCTCAGGGACTGTCCACCAGGTTCTATCAAAAGCACCAAGCACATCTATTGTCCTGCTGTGTCCTGATAGGAGGTGGCCTGAGAGAATGTGAACATGCTAAGATGACTGAGGTTTTCCTGATTACTAGAGTGCTTGAGGTCTGGAAGCAAAATGGGTACAGAGGTACAGCCAGGGTGCCGCATGCCTCACTCCACTGCCCAAGGCTAATCTCAGTTTTCCCACTGACCTCCCCATCTGTCTTCCTCAGCCCGCTCTACACCTATTGCATGGCATGTGAATGCAGACTCCACAGGACCTTATTTCCGAAATGGCTTGCTGCTGCCAGAAAGACATCACCTCAGCCGAGATTGTAGCTCAGCGGCTCCATGCCTGCCTGGCAAGTGCAAGGTCCTGAGTTCAATCCCCAGTACCACCTCAGACAAGAGGAAACAGACTGACAGGGCTCTTCATGTTCACAGGGTTGGGGAAAGAACCTCATGTCTGGGTATTTGGAGGTCACATGATTTGCTGTAAATTGAGAAAATATGGGTTCTGGGTATAGCTTAGTGGTAGAGCACTTGCTTAGCATGCACAAAACCCTGGGTTCTGTCCCAGCACTTAAAAATCAAACAAACAAATAGAGACAATGTGTTTCGGGATTTGCTTGCATTTCTTTTAGGGATATCATCATTACTTGTTGTTACTATCCCCCTCTCCATTTTATTTCTCCCTCATCCTTTATTTATAAATAAATTCTTTGCCTTTTTTAATATCAATTCAAATACTACCTATCAGACTTATTATGCACAAATATTTTTTTAATCATGAAGTATTGAGTGGGAGTGGAATAAGTGAGTTGGAATGGAATACAATGGAATATTCTTTGACTACAGCAGATGTGATGAATCTTTTCTGTGGTCTCCAGGAAAATGAGCCTTCCTTTCTGTGCCTCCCATCTCTTACAGCTTGTGTCCCAGTCTTACAACATTGGTATCTCAATCAAGGCACAACCCTCCTCCCAGGCTGTAATCCCCCATCAAAACACGTTAGGTTAGGAGACAAGAACACTAAGGTCTAGTCCCAGGTGTGTTTCGTTTATTACTAAGTATAATCTTTTCTTCGGGCTTTACCTAAATTCCTTTTTTATTAGATAACAATTCAGCTATTAG